ATACTGACTGAATATTTAAAATACTTACTTAACATTCAAAATACTTACTCAAAATTGAAAATACGAAGTCAAAATATATATTGATCCAAGCTAGTACTGACCTTTTAATGAAGATAAGGATTCGTTAATCGAGGTACAGAATATCAGTCAAATCAAATCTTAGCATCAATACAAGTTTTTTTTTTTTAGATTTATTATTAAAAAATTGAAACCAACACAAAGATAATTGACTGCATATCGGCTTTAGCGGGTGTTGAATTTTTATGTCTCGTTTAACTCTGTTTTGGTAATTGTCCAATACGTTAGTAATAGAGCCAACTTTAACCATTTCTAGTCAATGTACTTAACGAACGTCCAGTGACTATCCATATCACGTTTTCAAAACATAACAGAACAGCGATTTGACAAATTGTTTGAATCGACTTTTTACCGTTTTATTTGAAGTAGCCCTGTAAGTATTGTAGTGAAAAATATAATATTGTTATATTAGTAAGGTATCGGCTCTACATCAAAGAAAAGGGCGGCTCATTAGCATATTGAAAAGGTATAATTTAACTGATATCATTATCTTCAATGACTTTTATCCTGGTCGTAATGATACTAAAATTTCCTTGTCTAAACAGTTTCAGGCAAGTTCAATTTGTTGTTTATAAAAGAAATGATGAAGTCAACGTATTCAAGGGTTTTAGTTAACTTTAAACTATTCACCACCTTTCTTTACAATTGACTCTGTTTTGTCCGATGTGAAAATTGCTGTTAAAATTCTCACGGAATTGAGTGGGAAACGTTTTTAAAATATTGATTACATTCTGTACACCAGTTTCATAGCTGAACATAATATAACTGTTTATTTTTCTTTTACTCTTTAGCTCCTGTATTATTTGTTGATGATTTTCCGTCTTGTTCACCATTAAATTATTGGCTCATTTACATGTACATACAATTAATTACCACTATTGTACTTGGAACTAATTTCGTGGCATGAGCTACTGTCTGAAAGTTGGAAAAGTCTTATTCAGTTAACATGGGCTGCTTGATGAGTAAATGCAGACATTCGTTTTGTTGCAATATTATCTGGAAAAAAAAACGGATATCGTCAAAAACGAGATGATAATGGTTTATTATTGTAACTCTGTATTACCAAGTTGTAATCTCTGAAAGTGATTATCTCCCATTGTGGTATGTGTCATCGTGTATTGAGTTGAAATCAAGGGATTTAGATTCCCCGCCATTTCTGGTATGATTTGAATATTAAGGAAATCTTGTTTGGTTCTAATCACTTTTTATATTACCACAACACCACCAAACCCGCAGACACGTGGACAGTAAAGGGCGAAGAAATTGGAAAAGCTTTGTGGGTTTCAGTCTAAGAAGGTAGTGCTTTACGGTGTCTGCGCTTCGAACACGTGACCACGTTTTTCCAACGAATTACATTAAGCTGCCTAGATGGAGGCTCAGTCACGGTCCTGCATCGGGTGTACATGGCTAGATTTAAATGACTATTTGCATTGAATAGTTAGTCGGACTTTTGACACCGCTAATCCACCAATTCTTGTATCTTCTCTGCAAATTGTAGCCATATGAGAAACATAATAGGCTTTCACTAATCTTAGGTGTCACATTAAAAGATTGATTTGAACAACAGTAATACTTCGATTTAATGCTAACATGATGTCCAGTTTTAATAAACGTTTCTACATGATATTTAGCCGTGCGATACATTAACTTCACAATGTTCAATCTTTAATAATTTGTGCTGCAAATACTTTTAACATACCATTATCGAAATATATAAAGCAACGAAAATGTTAATAAAATGTTGAAATTTTACAAAATGAAAATTACATTTCTCTTTTTCAAGCAATTTAAATGCTTAGAATTAAAGAAATCAACTTTTTATATACATTTACAAATGACACAATAATCACAGTTAGCAATTCTTCATTTTACTATTTATCGTTATGTATAAGTTTGTGTGACAGAATTTTTCCCTCGAAATAATTTGTAAAATTATAAACGTTGTTACTTGTTTGAATTTTGTTTCGGTTGAGGTTTATGACTGTCAGAAACCAACTGAAAACCAACTCAATACGTTCAATTCGGAATAATAACATATTCAATCGTTTCAAAGGGAAAAATATAATACTGAAATACATAAAGAAAGTAGGCTAGTGGTCATTTTCTATTTCCATTTTACATTGAATACCATCCGACCTCTTCCTTCTCTTCCAACTCGATTTCAAACTCATAAATATGAATAAAAGTGAAATTAACTGTCAAGAGGAGGGCAGTAATAGTATCTTTTTATTAGTGGAGTAAAGTGTTCGGCACACCTTTTTACCATATTCATCATCATTTTCCACATGAAGGATTTTCATCGTCTGTATAGTGTTCCTGTTCACTGCACAGTGCGAACAAAACATATTGTCAGGACAAAACCAACAAAAGCCCGGTCAGAGATCAACACCGAAACTCTTCAAGTACTAGTTATTGGCTTTCCGAATTTGAAAAATTGGGTGATTTTCTAAGATTTTTACCTGGACGTACACTTGAATTATCTTGTCGAGTTTGTACATGAAGTGTCATATACGAGACTTTTAGTCACAATACCAATCATAGCGACTATTAATTATAAAATATAAGGTTTAAATATGCTTGTCAAATTGGCTTTAATTCTTTATTTTTCACTCCAAACAATTTAAATAAAAGCATTTAACGGAATTTTCCTTGTATTTAAAAGAAACATTTAATCTTTTGAAATATAAAAATATTAAACAATATTCATTGTTAGTATGTTTTAAACTTTTAAAACCTCAGTTTAATATGTTATTCAATTTGTTTGATCCAATGCACTACTAGCCATGATTGCCATAAAAGTTTTGACATCGCGCACCAAAGATAACTTATAATTCCACAAAAATATCAATTTTTACAGCAGAAAGAAATAATCACTGCAGAGAAAAACTGAAAAGATGCGCTTTAGAAATATGAATTACGATGCAAATGAGCAGAGAAATTCTAGCATTAGTTTGCATTGTAAATCCCTACAATTTGAGTTCCGAAACCAGTAAGCAAGTCACATTTATAGGAAGATGTTGATACTGGCGCTCTAAGATCAGTAAGCATACCATTCCTATTTTTGATCATAATTTATCAATTATCTTTAACGTTACAATATCATATAAAAAGACACCCAACTAGTAAATATTGAACGATATTTAGTTAAGAAATATACCAGGTGCTCAAGTCTGAAGAAATTCCCAGGAATCATTGATTACCATTCCTGAAACAGACTCTGCTGGTCTCATACTAGTCATATTTTACTCAATATATCGATATGCTGGAATTCTCTTCAAGACATGAACGATTCCTGCAAGGCATTCAACCATTGATGACAATTCTTAAGAGTCCTAAGAAATTCCCTAAAAATAAATATAATTTAACCGCCCCAGTCATAAAGTGAAATAAACATTTTGGAAATATTACATGAAAATTACTACGACTGTGCGGACTTATTGTGTCGAAATTGTCTGGGTATTTTTATTAAAGATATAAAGGTCTGAAATTTGATCTTGAGTCTTTAGGATGGCATTGCAGGACGGATGTTTAAGTTTCGCATTTTCCATACTACATTGGCACTGTATATGGACGATAAAAAGTGTAGCGAGTGTCGAGGGCTAAATAAAAGAACTCATAAATCCCTGTCTCTGTGCACATCACCGACACTGTTTCATAATCAATATTTAAATAGTCTATGAATATTCTCATTTTTGATTTACTGGTATAAATCTTTTTACTGCTGTATATGTGTAGACCATAATTAGTATTATTATCATTATCAACGCCATGGTGATCGACAATGTAGTAAAAGTATCACAAAATCAACGGAGATAATAAAACACAAGTTACAGAAGTAATAAAAAAATATTTCAATCTGTGTACAAATACAGTATCTTTATGATCATTATTTTCAAATTACACTGTCTTTTTTAGATAGTGGCAGAAATCCAACGAGAGTAAAGGGCCAAATACGCAAAGACAGTAATTTAAATTTGAATTAAATTAAAATCAAAATTATACAAAATTTTTAATATTTCATGTTGATAATTACTGAAACTGAATCGAACCGTTATTAAGTAATGCAAGGATTATAGCATTATATAAGAATATACGAACATTTTCTTTAAAATATTATCTCCATAATAGAATAACATCCATTTTTATTGACTACATATAAATAAGTTTTCCAATTTTGAAATATAAACCTTAAATCATTCCATCGATTTTTTTTATTGGGTTCGCATTATAAGGTTAACTAATGTAATGAAATATACTTCGTCAGAAATAGTCAGATTTAAATTTTTTCTGAAGGTAGAAAAGATTAAGCCCTTCTCTATATATTCCGATGTATACATCTAATTCCAAATATTCATTTTTCCGCTACTGGAATTCAATCAATAAGTACAAGTATTATCAGTTAGTGTTTGTTTTATTTTCTACTGAAGCTCAAAATCTATAACAAATCATATTGTTCCAACGTTTCATATTTTTACGCTAAATTTCAATTAACATGACTCGCGGCTTACACCACAACATCGTCACAAGTAATTGCTGTTTTCGGCACGCGCCGCCTTCTTCTGGTTAAGATGTCTTCCGATTGGTTGACTGGAATGATTGAGCACGTGCCTACTATCTATTGTTTGAAATATAATTATTGGTTGGTTCCGTATAAAACATGAATCGGAAATCACCAGACAAGTTAAATAATTTGTCTCCGGAACTTATATCGTGTGAAAGTTTCTTGTCGCTCTGATAGTCTTGGAAACATTTTTCTTTTCACAAAAATTTCAGGATCTGTTCAATTCTACCTAATATTTCCAGGAAATACTGAGAAATTTTAACCTGAGTATAACGAAATCTGGTTAATTATTGCGACACTGAATTGAATATCAGGAATGAACAACAGATTAAGAAAGATATTTTCTGAGATTTAATTCATGATGAATGATATTAACTATACACATGAACATTTTCTCAATTCTTTTGGGAGTTATGAGAATTTTTCCAGTCAGTTATCGCTATTTGAACCCCGGTCCGGTTATGGATCCCCGAATTCCAATCAGGAGAATATAGGAAAACACCGAAAAAAGAAGAAACGAGGAGCAGTGCAACAATATCAACAACGTCATGCGGCTAACATGCGGGAGCGTAAACGCATGCAGTCGATTAACGATGCGTTTGAAGGCTTACGAACTCACATTCCGACGTTACCGTATGAGAAGAGACTATCCAAAGTGGATACGTTAAGACTTGCTATAGGTTACATTGGATTTCTGGCCGAGTTAGTGGAATCGGATGTACAAGCGAAAGAAAATGTTGCAAATCAAGTAGGAGAACAACCCAAGAAAGTAATCATACACTGTCATCGAGGTAAGTCGAAAATAATTTACTTCAGCCTCCTTCAATGTGATTCTGAATTGATATTCAAGATAATTCAAACTAAATATTTGGTTTTTGCTTTAGAATGTTTTCGATTCTGGATTAACCAAAATGAAAGTTTTCGTATAAATTCACTGTTTAATACATAGAAATCCGTCTGTACGAAATCGAAGATAGAAACCAACCAAATTTTTTCCGCGACAGGAATAATATTATCTATAAAACATATTTATAAACAACAGAATTGTTCTGAATTGCGATAAAACTAATTTATTTTCTCGAAGATGAAAACTTAGTTATTTACTTTTATATTTTGTTTGATTTATTATTACACTAATTATTGTTCACCTTTTTCAAAAATCAAAAATCACTTCAAAATATTTTGGTCATTGGATATACTATGAAATTTAGTTTACATCAAGTCTGAACTAAGAATAAACATGCTATGAAAATCAACACATATACCCCATCAACTCCCTTTAAAATCATTCAAATATAGTTTTGATAAATAAGCAGGAATCCTTTTAAGGAGTTTTGGGTGGAATGGAAAATTATTTGATTGGGATAGTGCAATATTGGTACATTCAAAAAGCTGGAATTATCATTGGCTTATGGACAGTTTGTTCTGAAATATGCTAAAATAAAACATGATAATTTTTAAGTATTTTCAATATATAAAACCTTTTTTGTCAGGCAAATATCAGCTTAATTTCCTAATTTGCACAATCTTGAAAACTAAATAAAGTATGAAATTAGTAAAAATTGATATCCAAATTCCTACCGTTACTATGGACAAAATTTATTGGATTTTAAAGCAATTGTTCGATTTGAGTTTTAATGCTTTGATGTGGTCGAAAGTAATGTTTTAATTGTAATAGTTATATTCATACTGCAAAAGAATTGAATTTACTAATATGAAATTGGATTGAAAACCCTGGACAATCTCATAAGTTTATTATGTATTGTCAAGTAGAAGAAGTAGGGATAGAAAAAAAAACATTTTAAAGAATTTATGATTCTAGATTAAGCTAGTAGCATTATTAACAACTTAAATTTTCTAATATTTTGGACCCAGATCAGAAAATTACAGTTTTTCAAAGGGTACATCGTTGTATGCTTGTGTTTTGGCAAGTTGTAAGCATGAAATGCACTCAAGACATTTACAAATCATTATAAAAGGTCCAATACACACAACCAATTTACAAACAGTTTACAAAAAACATTAGAATTATTTTAAAAGTCATTCTGAGAGACTATAATTGATCCGTTTCTCACCAGATCTTTTTTCAGGTTGAACAATAATATTATACTCATGTCAATATAGACACCGATTCTTTCCTCACGTTTTATCGTATACCTGAGAATAGATTTAACCAGATTGTACATTATAATTGCCTCGATTATAGTCTCAATCTTTGGGAAAATATAGAAGGAACGATAAGGGAGGATTACACACGATTTCGTTAATATTAATATAGGTTTCAAAAATTTGAATTATAAACTTTAAATATTATTGTCGGTCAGTTGAAACAATAACTCTTAGATTAATAATTTTTCTGTATTTGGTTTAGATTCTGTCTCGTTCATAACAACGATTTGTTGTTCCTGTTTATGTAAAATCTTTGTTTCTGGTCTTTTTCAGGAAGTGAAAATCTTGAACAGTATGGGTTACCCCCCCTTGCTGGTCACTCTCTGTCGTGGACTGATGCTAAGAAACCAAATTACGGACCAAACAAAACTTTAACGGCCAAAATCTGGATGCCAGAGGATCCTAGAACATTAAAGAACCAAGAACCAGATTGTTCAGGAGTATTAGATTCATCTTTAGATGTTTGAAGCATTTCCAGTCTGCCAACCGGAAGTAATATAAATAAGCTCTTAACGGCTTGTCTGGTACAGATAGTGAAAGATTCTAGTGATGATGTGATACACAGTGAGAAGGAGTAAGACTTTCCTTTCTAAGAAGTGTTTCTGGGGACGAACTTTTGCAATATTCGCTTATAAACATTGCATTTTTACTTTTATCTCAATAGAAATTGTATGCAGTTTTTCTAACAAAATCATTATATCAGCATTATTGTTGTCTTCCACTGATATGAATAAATACAAAATCTAAATGTTATAGTATTTGTATTGTTATTGACTATATAGAAGTAGGTTTGATTCCGTGGAAGTTCTCGATTTGGATGGTGTTCAATGCTCTGAATATGATCAAACAGACGAAGTCTTTTAGAAGCTTAGAATATTATTATACAAATTAGTGTTATCAACCGAGCGTTCATCGTCATTGGTCTGTCAGATTACTGATAGACACGTTTTAAAATTCATAAATTCATGTGGAGCTTGCTGCTTTGTATGTATTAGTCCCATAGTCTGTCTTATAATATTGTGTAAAAATAAACTCTTGATCCACAGTGCAAAACAGCTCATCATCACGAGGCCTCCCCGTGTGTATTCTAAGCAATACTCTGTTTACATTAAAATTATGTACATCTTGTTTTATATTTAATTTATTTGTTATGTGCAATATTGTATTGTAAATATTGTTAATTAATAAATTTAAATTTTCACGTTCATATTTTATTATGTACTACGATCTTTAGAAATGCCCTTCAAGGTGAAAATTTTTGCAATGAGTACCTAGATTGAGGCAAATCGGAGAACAAATCCTGCTAAATAGAAACTGTCTATATTTTCGAGCTATGAAACTTGTAAAGGTGTACTAACAATATCCTTGACCAGTTGAAAATCTCGAATTTGAGACGGACAGCTTTTGTCATTGTCTGAACACTTCAATGCGATTAATGAAATCAGATTGGACCCATTTTGATTAAACTTGGTAATCATGTGTACATTGGTGAGATCTCAAACAAGTTCAAATTGTAAATTGTAATTTTTCCCCGTAATTCATCTCAAATACCTCAAAATTTGTAATGCACAAAAATAAGTATCTGGAACACCATTCCAAGTTTCACTCAGACGTTTGCAGTTCCTGCAAATCCTCTACATTTAAGCGTTTTATGACGTTACTAATTGAAAATATGCTTGTAAAACATTTAAGCACAAGTATTTTAAGCGCAGGAGATGGTATACGTAAAGCATACTTCTTTTAGGCAGACGTTCATTGTGCCAAATATTTCATCCCTTTCGCACTGCACAACTGGATTACTGAATCCCGATTCATTTCGGTTTGCAATCCTATCCATTGCCGAGAAAAGTTCGATAACTTTTTATTTTTTAGTAATACGCCTGGTCACAGTTGACGGAATTGAAATACAATATTCATCATTAAACAATATGATTTTCCGTTTTCTCTTGAATTTTATTAATCCCTTTCTTGTGAACTATTATAACGCCATTTTGGAGTGTTTATTCATGTGATACCCCGTGATATTCTTATCCGGATAACTTCTTGTTTGGTTTTGTAATGGTATTGCCCATATAGGTGTAATTGATAGCTCGGTGTAAAAAAAAACTGTAGGAACCACTGAGGAAAGGTTATCGGAACTACAATTACGGGTAATACCAGGAATGTTTTCAAATGAAAACTATACAAATTATTATATATAAAGAGGAAACACAATATACATTACGTATAGTTGGTTTTAAAGAAGAAATATTTAAAGAATGTGATAAAGGGTTGCTCCACATAGACAAGACCTTCCTCTGAATATTGTCTTCTGGTTTGTATTATGATAACATTTAATAACCAAAGAAAAACTACAAAATGTAGAGTATCATTTCTTGCTAATCTTTGTATGATGCTATACAATTAAAATTATTTCCAGTTTAGAGTCAGGGAACACGCTATGCTTCATCACATACCCCAACTTATTTTAATTTCAGACAATGTCCACAAATATTACTCGACATGAGGTGGGAATAAAAATTACTTTGGTGTGGCCTGGATCGCTTAATTATTCATAACCAATTCTTAGTGAATGCAAGCATTTTACGACATTATAGACTAGTTGACGGCTGTTGATTCTCCCATCATCGATTACGACAAACGCAAACTAAAACATATGACGGTTACCCAACGTATTTCTTAACGAGTTCCATCGATTCCTGACATTCTGTTATCAATAGAAGAGGCAGCAGACAATTTTTCAGACCCATAGAGTATAAAATTGCTTTTTAATAATGTTAAGTATAGTTAACAAAAAATAAAGTGTAGAAATGTAAATTGGAAGCCACAATGAGATCGAAATTGACAATTTTTCTATGCTCTCATTTAAAGTCCTTCAGTATTTTGAGAATTTTTTTAGAAGAAATTCAACGTTTTTTTATTGTTTTTAATCGATTTAGTTCAAGTGAAATTTCATAAAGTTTGCCCAAATCCATATTATGACATGTTATGTGACGCCAAATAGTTGGCCGAAATGACCAATTATCTCATCATCAGTCCACAAAGAAAAGCTAGTGGCCTGTGGTCAAGTAGTCCATTTGTAGGCTGGTCATTTTTTTTAACGCGTGTTATTATATTGAAGTAGCTTTCTTGATATGATACGATATGAGTCGAATTTATCCTGGGTTAATCTGATTCGATTTGGTCTAAAAACCATTTATCCCGTATCAAATCAAATTTGATTATGGTAATCAGCGCATTTATTGAAGCAGCGAATCAAATGGATATACGTTAATCGAGTAAATTAACTGTGTAGCGTCGTAGCTCTGTTAACTTCCGCTTTAGTAATGGCGTCCAACATGTCAAAACCATTACGTGCAGGGTAATTTCTTGGAAACTATAAATAGTATAATGTTCATTTATCCTGCAGTATGAATCAGATTCGATTTGTGACGTCATTCTGATTAGGGTAATCGAATCAGATTTAAGTGCGTAAAAATGCCTTAGGAGTATAATAATTGTAATTATTGTGCTTAACGTCGTCTCAGAAATTGGTGACGTGGTCAGCAAGAATCGCAATCCCAAACACGTGTCTGAAAAATGATGACTCTTGACACTGGGTGGTCAATTTTGTTTTCAAACTTAACCATAGTTACGAGAAGGTTGGTGGAAAAATTCAAGTATGATACTGAATGTAGTTGCTTTTGGAAAACTAATGGGTAGCCGAAATAGTAGCAGATGTCAGAGCCACCACCAAGCACTTTACAGATGTGTTGTCTTTTGTCAGTGTTTACTGACTGAATGTAGCTGGTACTTTCTCAAACTACTATCTGGTGTATTCTGGTGTAATATATTTTATCTATTCTTATTTACCACCTCCTATGAAATGGACTTTAAATCGATAGTGCACGTATCCATGCTCAAAATACATTTGATTATAAATTTATGCAGGTTTAAGCGATATAAGTTAATTATTTTTGGTATTTAAGCTTATGTTTTAATAAAAGAAGAACACGTATTTACCCCAATGAAAACCCTGTTCTATATACATTTCTATATTTCGCTTGGTTTTCAATTCATATTCCTTATAAAAGATTTGTATTAAATATTATAATAATCGTAGTTATTATAATGACGCGTGCCCACCGCGAGCCATTCAAATATGCACACGTGCCCTGCTCGCGACAATACTTCGCCGAGAAAATAAAAGTAATTTGTGTCTACTTTTTGCGCATTCTCGTGGACATAATCGACAATGTCGTGTGAAATCGTAGTTGAAAAGACCTTCAAGCAACGAGTAAGGTTGAACAATGCGCACCTGTCAGCAATTGGAAATCACCAATTGATGAAAACTCGTTACGACATTTAGCAGTATGATGTGAGAAGATAAACAAACTGCGGCATGCCTTTTAAAAAACAGACATGTGTAGTCAAAGAGTTGGTAAATTAAGAAGCAATAAAAATTTATCATTCACTTCAAATCAATTATGTCGAATTTCATATATAATACAGGGTATTAAGCAAAGCAATAGACTTTCACCTTCAATGGTGATTCTGGAGATTTATTGTTTATTCTAAACAAAAGAAACTTTAAACACTATACAATAAAACATTAATGAAGTAAAAAAAAATGAGGGCGAGAAATTGTGACAGAACGCTCTTGTTACATTATCCAGATCTTGCTTTTACCAACCTAGTTTTATGGTATTAATCAATGTTTCAAATACTTTTCGAAATACTTATACCTTGTTAATAATATAAATGCGAGCTAAATTGCCGCCTATACAGTTTGAAAACCTGATTTAAGTGCATTGTAGGCTATGTTAAAATCAAGGTATTCTTCTTTCCATCAAGTTTCAGATCTTACCACGAGATATAAATAAGTCCACCAAGTTCATTATGTGACCTCTAGATATAAATAAGAAATCAAGTTCCAGATTTGATCTCTAGATATATATAAGTCAATCAAGTTGCAGATTTGACTTCAAGATGTGAATAGGTTCACCAAGATTTAGATTTGACCTCTAGATATAAGTAAGTCCACCCAGTTTCAGATTTAACCAATGAATATAGCTAAGTCAATCAAGTTCCAGATTTGATCTCTAGATATAAATAAGTCCATCAAGTTTCAGATTTGATCTCTAGATATAAATAAGACAATCAAGTATCAGATTTGATCACGAGATATAAAAAGTCCACCAAGGTTCAGATTTGACCTCTAGATATAAGTAAGTCCATCCATTCTCAGATTTTACTATTAGATATAGCTAAGTCAATCGTGTTTCAGATTTGACTACAAGATATGAATAAGTCCACCAAGTTTCAGATTTGAACAATGCAAATAAGTCAATCAAGTATCAGATTTGACCACGATATAAAAAGTCCACCATGGTTCAGATTTGACTACAAGATATGAATAAGTCCACCA